CCTTCTCTGTCATTTCTTCTGTTGTGCTAGCTATGCATTCTAATAATGTAGTGTCTATTTGTTCAAGAACCCAGTCCTATTTTGTATTTTATTTAGGGACAGGGTCTTACTGAGTTGCTTAGTACCTCACTTTTGCTGAGGTTGGTTTTGAACTTGAAATCCTCCTGTCTCAGTCTCCTAAAACACTGGGATTACAGGTGTGCACCACTTGGTATGGCATATAAATATCTAGTTTAATTTAAAGATCTTTACATTTTCGTTTAAACAAATTCAATATAAATGTCTTACTTTAATTTTATTCACATTTTCTTAAGTATTATTCAAAACTAGAATTAATTCAAAGAACTTCTGGTCTCAAAGTAGTAAATCATTTTAGGCAGAAAATATAATCAATGTGTAGAGAGATTAATTGGTTACAGCTCACAGTGTTTTGCCTTATTTTAATCTGTTGACCACTGATGATTGACAGAAGCTCAGCTTCTGTGATTGACCAACACTCAGCTATTTGTTACAAGAGTGTACTCCTAAGTTAGGCTTTTTCTTGATTTATGTACTAATTTAAATTGCAGTTTTTTTCCTAAGAAAACAAGTGCAGAGATCCCCTTATACCTAAATTTAATTCAATTTGACAGTATTATATGTATGTGTCAGTATATTGCCTGCAGCATTTGTAAGATATGTACATACATGTGATTGATAGTTGTATATACGAGCATTATGTACACATGTATATGCACATATGTATATGCACATATTGATGTAGATCAATATTATAAAATGTAAAAAATTGCTTAATCTATTATTTAATTTGGTTTAAAATGCATACTAGTATTAATTGCATTATTTTCTTGAACTTTGAAATTTTTCAAAAAATTTTTAGGTAACTGTGATTGATCCACTTGCCTCTTCAATCTCTTTCCATTTCACAGCTTGGATTCTTAAAAAGTTCTATCTCATGTTACTTTTGGTGTATGTTATTTACAGTATGACTTAATGGTTACCATTATGCATTCTGGAGCCAGATATGCTAGATTTGATTCCTGAGCTGTACCATTTATTTATGTGGACAAATTATGAACTGTGTACCCCTTAATGTTTTTTTTATTGAGTTATTGAAAATTGAAATATAGTAATGAGAGTGAAAGACTTAACAGATGTGCTGAATACTGAAGTGGATACCACTGAAAAGTTATTTGTAAGCTAAAACTGTATGTGAAGATTAATTTTGAACATTACAGGACATATGTAAAACATAGGCAAGAGACATGAATGTAGACATGACTAAAGTACCATTTAATCATTTGCAAATAAACCATATTTCTAAAATAAGCTAAAATAATAAATAGATCTATTGAATGAAATGACTATAAGAATTTAGTCCAGATATCTGAGGTCTGTTTTTTTGTCAATCTTTTAACTGTTTTCTTTTTTCAATGCTGACCATATTTCTAGATTAAATTTTTTCTGATGGCAAAATTAAAGAGGGTTCTGACAGATTTCACAACCATAGACCATGACATTCAGAGAAAGTATATTACTTTTTAATCTCTTTTAAAATAAAGAAAACTCATTTCTGAGAAATTTTCAGAAAAAAAAATTATCCATATTGTCTTTTGGTTCCCAAATAATTCACATACTCTTTCATCTATACATGTCTGAGGTTCAGTGTTGGTATGCATTAGGGTGGGTGATGCAGAAATACCCAACAAAACATCATGGTATTACTAAAAAAGAAAATCAATGAATGTAATTCTGACAACTGAAAATGCACATTAAAATACAGTGTGTGTAAACTATTCATTGAATTCAGAGCTTTTCAAAGTTTTTCATCACTGGATTTTTTTTAATATTCTTCAAACCTGTTTAAGACCCTAAGAGCCATTGTTTATATAGGCTATATCTATTAGTATTTACTAGGAAAGAAATTAAACTGAAAGACTGAAAAAATCTTATATTCAAACATAAAAATAATAATCCCATTAACCTTTACTTAATAATTACAATGGAAACATTTTAAAGAAAACATTTAAAGAATGACTAATATCAGGGACACTATTTGAGTACTGGTAATACAAAATCAAATGTGATGTATTTGATATAGGAAGAGGCTAGTAGTTCATTTGATTTTATAAATAGTAGCAATTTATAATTTGTATTTCTTTGAAATGTTATTTATACATGTGTCCTGTCCTTTCTGAGATATCCTCAAGTTCTACTCTCATCACTTAATGTGTGAATTACTGGAGTTAGTCTCATTCCTCTTTCTCTCCAATCAATTGCCAGATCATCTTTCTGAAAAATGAAATCATATTTTCTGTCAGGAAGACAGGAATGTGTGATAGTTCTAAATAAATTCAAATTTCTTTGGGCAGCGTTTAAAGTTCTTAATGATCTGATCCACATCCATCGTACTACCCACACCAAGAACTCTCCAACACTTTGCCACTTTGGTAGCTCTGTACAAATGTTTACCCCTGTTCCCACTCCCAGTGACACACTCATTTC